GATTTCCTACGTGATGAAAAATGCTTTCGGGCCACTCGTCGTCTAGTGTGTGAATCTTTTTGACCTTGCTTCCTCTCTCTTCTTTCTTTTCTTTCTATATTCCTTGAAACTTTGTTTTTCTTTGGCTGGTCTTTGTACATGAAAAAGCTCTGAAGAAGACTTGCCTGCATAATGACCATGAGGTCGCGGACGATGGTTAAAGGTACCAAGCTACCAAGTCCAACACCGTGAAAGTCAACGAGTAGGACAAATTTTCGAGCCACTGGATCCTGCAAGATGATGTTTGAAGCACAACCGACTTCAAAAGCACACTTAATCAAACTGACAAAAGTGCTCAAAGATGGCCTCCAACCTACTATATAGTAATGGCCTCCGGTCCAAAAGGACAAAGTTTGGAAAAGTGAGCAACGCTTGGACAACTCTTTGTGAATGCCACAGGTGGGATGCGGTTTCCATCCTCAGGGGATAGGCTCAATTGACCCAGCTTGGCTTGCCTCTCTAGGCATGCAATTGCCTTGGCAGTCGTTCGAGGACTTCAAGCAATCCAAAACAAGAATTGTACTACATACAGGAGTGTCTAAAGTGTCAGAATAAGCCTGAAGAAAGAAACACGGAATGATAGAAAGAGAAAAAGGTCGGAAAATAATGTTCATTTTTAGGGAGATAGGGAGAAGCAACATCCAAGGCCTAAAGCGTTTATGCTCCAATTGCGCTTTGGTGCCCGTTCGAGGCAATAGACCAAATACTTGATGCCTGCCGCTTCGGCATTGAAACCTTCTCTGCCCGGCTTGAAGTACAGTGCCGGACGGCCCTGCTTATCCTAGGCAACGCATTCTGCGAAACCAAGCGCAAGTTAAAGCCAGAAGGACTCCTCTTTCCCATTCTCTTGTCTTCCACCCCTAAGGCCAAGCATCATAACCACGGACATAGATGTTTCCCAAATGGGCTTCTTGTGCAATTTCGTCGGCGCACTCACCGGTGAAAATGTTTGAAAATCCAAAGTCCTTGCCGCGTGCCAGGGACTTCCACATCCAAGTCCAAGACTCGTTTATTTGGCACAATCATGCACAATCCGTCTATCCCCAACGGCGTTCTGATCAACACAGTGGGACCCTTCCAACACTGCCAACAAATGAGACGACGGTTCGAAAATGTTAAAAGCAAACAGTCGCCTTGCGCCAGGTGCCAGTTGCTCGAATCATGGTTTCAGCCCGATCAACATCCCAGCTCCTACAGAGTTGTGAGAGCGAGTTCTAAACAGAATAAGAAAACATATGCAGAAAATGTGTATTTTTCTTTCCGGTATGTTTCTTCTTTTTGCTTCCTTGCACTTGCCCAACCAGGAATTTTCACAGCAAGCAAGAAGGGACTCCTGGCGCGGAGGTAGCGCACCAATGCCAACGAATCATCATAGAGGCCTGAAAAAGTGGCCGTCGAATGAGTGGCCAGATATGTGCAAAAGGTAGTTCACGCACAGACCAAGCACTCCCAGGGTGTGAGGTCCTAGATAGTTTATGTACATATTATATATATATATATTTATATATCATATCGCTTGCTTTGTTCCAAGGTGTCGCCTTCGCCGACATCTTTCTCCTTTTCTCTCAAACGCTCTGCCAATGCGGCCACGGCATCTCTCTGACCATCCTAGCGGTCGCACAAAATGGCGGTCGGCGGTTCACAAGCGTATGTTACTACTAGCTTCTTGCTACTAGTAGCGATGGCCTCCACCCTAGTAGCGATGGCCTCCAACCTACTAGCTTCTTGTTACTAGTAATTCATTGAAACACATATGAAGGAACTTCTTCGTCAAACAAATGTCAACAGCTGCTTCCCAAGACCACTTCACACATCGGGTCCTTTAAAGCCTCAAGCTGACATGGTGCATCACCGGAAGGCATCGAACTTGTCTTGAGTCGTGTTCAAACTGTGTGAAGGTGCTGTCGAAGAGTTGGAGTTGGCTCAAAAACCCGCTGCCCGTGCTTGAAACCGCACTAGATCCCCTAATACAACCCAATCCGCTGAAGTGTAAGCAACTCTTGCCAAAATTGGCTCAACAAACATGTGGTAGGCCCTGATTCTTCGATGCCACAGATTGGCTCGGATGATGATGTGCAAACTTTCAGGCACAAAACGGCCACAACTGCTGTGACAAGGAGAGTCTCACTCATGCACACAGCAGAGTACCGCAACAAATTGTTTACTTTTGCTGCAAATATCGAAAGTGGAGCCCTGTTGAGCATGCGTCCCGCTTTCCTGCCTTTTGGCCTCGCTCCCACCTGGATGGACCACATTTGGACCACACAACCGTATGTCCAAGTATTCAATCTAGGAGCAAGGACGCTACTAGGGGCTCCTGGCATCGCTACTAGGAGCAAGGACGCTACTAGGTTGCCAACACATTGGCGCATTGGAAACATTTGGCCCATTGTGGCCCCACTCGTGCTCAGGCACAAGCTGTTGCAAAAGCAAGTCGATCTGTGCATGAGCCTTCGCCCTTCGCTTTGCCTGGACAAATCTGCTTTCTCGAAGTGAAGCATGCGGCGCTTGACACAAAACTCCAGGTCAGGAACATCGAGAACAAAATGAAGCCTAGCAAATCACCACGTGACTACAGTACCTTTGACTGGATTTGAAGCTTCCGCGCATCTGATAATAGAGCTAGCATGGAACCCGTCCTTGCGCTTCTGTGCCACAAAGTCCCTCCACGCCGCTAAATAAGGAGCCTCAGCAGGACTGCTGACTAAAGGGTCTTCAGACATGCCGCCCCAGATGTTTCCCACAAGTCCCAATACACCAAATGTTCATCCTGCATTCTGCATCCAGTTGAGTGGACAAGTTTAACCAAACTCCTGGATTTACGATTTCACACTGCACCTGACATTCCGCTCGTTTTCTTCCTAGCAGAACGAGATGTGCGGAAAGCTGTGATTGGAGCGGGATGCGTCATTGAGACACTGGGCAGCTGGCCATCAAACCTTTGGAGCCTCCAAGCCACTGTCTCGAAAGCACCCCTGAGATTCAGAAATCGAAAACAGAAAGGAACACATGCTCAAACCCTTACGAACCCACAGGAATCCTTCAATCCATTTCAAGACAGATCCATCTGGACCAAGGCTTCCTCTTGGCAGCCGGCCCACAGCAGCTTTCGCACGCTTCCTCGCTCTGCAAATATCCTTCCTGGGAAGTCGGACGCCAACACAAAGGGCATCGCTACTAGGAGCGATCGGACGCTACTTGGGGCTCCTGGCCTTACTACTAGGAGCAAGAGGACGCTACTAGGAACAAAGGGCATTTCTACTAGGAACAAGAAGCTACTGGGAGAAAAAGGACTTTTAAGGAACATAGCGAGGGCCTCCAAACTACTAGTTACTAGTTCCTCATAGTTCCTCTGTCTATGCTCTCCTCCTACCTGCAACTTCTCCGCTTCTTCTCCGCCTTGCTCCGAGCGCCGGGCCAGGCATGAAAGGAGGGTCCTGGACGACCACTCATGGATTTCCGCCTCGTGAGAACAACAGCAACACAACGGATGTTACCTTTCTTTATTCGACTTAATTCGTTTATTTCCTTATTTCGTTTCCATTTTGAAATCTTGCAGCTCGCATTACAACTAATCCGACGGTTTCACGATATGTAACGTGGCACGACTTAGTTTTGTACTAGATGGTGAAAGCCAAAACAGCCGCATGGACCCATGCTCGCAAGGCAGAGAATGAAGTACATTGAATTTGGACCATCTGAAACTTGGGGATCCGAACCCCCAACTCATCACAGCCTTAGATGCGCCGGCAAAATGTCCGACAAATTCTGCAAACCTCCTGGTTGAGCTCATGGTTCTACTCCTAGGTTAGAACCACCAACCTGTGCACTAGGCCGCTAGGCCAGTGCTTGGCCATTGGGGGTGTGCGCGGGTGTGCGCTTTCCATGAACGCTTTGCCTGTAGATACTTTCAATACTTTGGCACTTTGAGCATGTTTCTTCCGTCGCTGCTTCACGCCTTGTCAATGGCCGTTAGCCTCCGGCGGCGACGTCCTCCAGCCTGGAGCAGAAGATTATTCCTGTTCTGCGTTCCTATTTCTTTAGAATGCCTTTCTTCCGATTTCATGCTTTACTCTTCTCTTCTTCATTGACCTTTCTTTGAAGAGAGCACTCACGAGAGCCTCATGTGAAGTCCGTGAAAGGTTTTGCAGTGAAGGACTTAGTGACGGAGTTTGCACTTTGAAGGGGAAGGATCCTGGTATGCCACCTCAAAGGCAAGAAGTTTAAATACTCCGGTACCTCCTTCTCATACAGTTTTTTGTGGTTGGTGAGCTGTTGCTGGTATAGGTCAGGGTGTTCCAATCGGATTTCCCCCGTTCAAACTTTCAGCAATGGCAATGTGCCTGTGAAAGCTCCAACCACTTGCCGGCCACTGCGCGGAGCAGGCGCGCCGCTTGCTCTTGGGTGTTCTTCGGCAACTGAGTGGAAGCGATGCCGCAGGCGTCTGGCAACATGTTTCAACTCGCGCCCTTGTTCCTAGTAGTAAGGCCAGGAGCCCCTAGTAGCTTCTTGCTCCTAGTAGTAAGGCCAGGAGCCCCTAGTAGCGTCCTTGTTCCTAATGTAGCAATGCAAATACTCTTGATGTTTGCCCTTCGATGCTCGAGGACGAAATAGACAATCCTGAAATAGCGAGGATTTAAGCAGGCTTGCTCAAGCTGTTTGTGCAAACTGTGGCTCTGGCCCAACTGGCCATCACTTGTTGTACCGCATTCCTCTTTTGCCTCCTGGCATCTTCCTGGCTAACAATCGCTTCGGATCGTTTCGGACGCAAAAGTCCTTGGCGCTTTGGACCCAGAATACCCAGAATGGTCAGGCCGCTATGCGGGCTATATCGGGCTATGCTTTGCAATATGCATGCTACGAAACTGACCTTTGTGCGTCATGACGATCATTGACTATCATTGATCATGAGCAGTCTCTTCTGAAAGCAGTGCCATAGGTGGTCTCCATCCAAAGTCTTGAGGCTCGAACAGCCCAGCGATCGAAAGCTTGAGCTTTTGCTGTTTCCGCACCTGAACTCTCAAATGCGAACGTCCGCCTGAGCCTCACAAAACCCAATAGCGAACACCTAATAGCGATGGCCTCCACCCTAGTAGCGATGGCTTCCAACCTCCTAGCGATGGCCTCCTCCTAGAATCTAGAGCTTCTAAAATACCTAGAGTCTAAACACTACGAAAACACAACGTATGATGATGTAGTCTTCTGCCACCTGAGTGGATCATCTTGGCATGTCAGGCACAAAATGAGCCGTGTTCTTTTTGCGTGGTCTGGGGGGGCAGCCACACGGTACCCATCCCTCTGCGAAGCTTTCGCCAATCTCTCTCCCCAAGCGAAATTGCCTACGCATGCTGTATGATGTTGTATGTAGGAGGTGGTGTCGCGAAAGAGTTCGCGAGGTTTCGTGTTAGCATTCTACATAACACAAAAAAACACAGTACATTTTACGGCTAACCAAACACGGTAGATTCTACGCGAAACGGATACCCGAGACTTCGCACATGAGAAACGGAAATCCTTTCGCAGCCATGACAAGAGTTCCATATGTAGCGCGGTGTTTGAACAAAAGGCAACTCAAATGGGCAGCCAGGCGATTTCGTCTCTCCCGCTCTTCTCTCAGACCTCAATTGCAACCACACCGGCTCCCGCCACCAGGAAATCGAGTGAGGAGAATCTAAAGCGGCAGCCCCCCGCGGGCCCCGCGATGCATCTCCAGAAGTTTAAAGGGTGAACGCTTCTTGTTACTACTAGTAAGGCACCTGTTGCTACTAGCGTGGCACTTGTTACCAGTAGCTTCTTGTTACTACTAGTAAGGCACTTGTTACTAGAAGCGATGCACTTGTTACTAGTAGCTTCTTGTTACTACTAGTAAGGCACTTGTTACTAGAAGCGATGCACTTGTTACTAGTAGCTTCAGTCACCATCCATCGTAATCTAGCATAAGAAGGCATAGCTTCAAGACACATTGTGGCTGGGTCAAGTCCTGTTGAAATGATTTGAAGAAATGATGTGCACTCAAACAACAAGGGTTGCCCTCATTGGGGGAACGCTGTCAGGAGCCCGGCGCTCTTCATAAATCAGTCTCTCCTGCGAAATGGGGCTGTCAAGTGTTGGGCGCTGGATTCTTCCAGACCGGGAAACATGTGGCTTTGGCTCTTTTGGCTCTTGAGGCTCGAGCTTCTTGCCAAAGCCCCTCTCAAGACAAGCATTGAAATATCACCAGGAAGTCCACATCTCGACATTCGTTGCTTCTTTGATCGCCCGACAAATTCACGAAATCTTGAGATGCTTCAGAACTTTAACAGGACAATCCAAAGCACCAAAAAAAGACGATTGTGGCGAGATTCCACTTTGAAATGAGCGACGCGTCACGACGCGTCCTGCACAAAGCGATTTTCTGCTCTTTCTTCGGCTTGGGCTTCCTCAGTGCGGAATCGACATGAGACCAGTGTACCGCATATACCGTATACCAATCAACTGTCCGACCGCCTAAAACGCATATTGCACAAAATGGCTTGTGGTCGTTGCCGCTTGCGTGCGTTGCTCGCCCTTACTGGCCCTGATGCTCAGACTCTACGCGCAGCACGTCCAACTGAGGCCCAATCAGCCAGGAGCAAAGCTTCCTTGTGATTCCTCTCAAGACCTATGGAACGAAACTTCAAACAAAGCGAGCATACAAAACCGACAATCAAGTATACAATCGAAAAAGGTCAGCAAAAATCCGACAATTTTTCAAGCAATTGAGTCCAGCTGGCGAGTGTGACGCTTTCTCACTGCATAGGGCAGCACGTTCCCGCGCCAGTCTCTCCTCCTTTATGCGGCTCTCCCACAACTGCCTTTCCTGCAAGCGCATAACTCACGTCAGGCCCTTTAAACACCTTTTGATGCTAAG